GTAGGAACAAAGTGCAGATTTAATTAGTGTTCATAAAAAGGATCTTTGAGACTTTTTAGGAAACTATAATATGCTTGTTTCTACTGTCATGAAGAAGATTCTGCAGAAGTGTTCAGCAGGGCAAGCTGGAAAGCTGAGAGTAAGTGAAGCTGAATGTCATGACTGAATGTTATGACATTGGTCGTATGACATCAGGCGTGCAAGGTTTGTTTTTCTGTTATGATACCTGATATATCTCAGGCTAAATTTCAGGAAACCTGTTATGGCTTCTTAGTTATCTCAGGCGAGATTCTAGTCAGGGATGGACATAACATGAAGCAGCTGTGACCTAATTTGACAACACCTTGAATTGTGGAAATTAGTGTTACTTTGTTAAACCTAATGTTTGTTACTTGTGACCAGCCCAAGCCCAGTCTGCACTACTATTTAAGAAGGAGCAGAAGCATAGCAAATCAAGCACTCACATCAAGAACAACTTGAGTGTAAAATAAAGGTCTAGGGTTTGAAAGTCCCTTGTGTGTGTAAGTCACCCTTTATATCTATTGATACATTGTGGTAGACATATTTGTGAGTGAAGAATGTTGCTCTTCACGTTGGTTTTGTGAGTGAAGAACTTTGTTCTTCACGTGTGTCTAGGGATCTTAGGTTCCTTGTGTGCCAAGAAATTGTAGGTTGTATGATTGCTCTGGTTTATTGTGTATGAACAGGTGTGTTCATTGTGCTACTCAAAGCTATTAAGCAAGAGTGTGTGTCACTTGATCAAAGTTGTGAAGCAAGATCAAGGTGTTTTGGAGTGAGTCTCCATAAATGTTTTGTAATTGTGTATTTGTATCACTGTGGTGTGATTGAGGGGGAGTGAGTGGGTATACTCAGGTCTAGAGTGTCTCTAGGCAGAAGTGTCATTGGGTAGGTTTTAAGTGAGGAGTGCAAATTGGGTTGTTTGACTCTGAATTAATTATGCAAATAGTGAATTTCCTCCCTGGCTTGGTAGCCCCTAGATGTAGGTGATGTTTCACCGAACTGGGTTAACAAAATTCTGCATAATTTAAATGGTTAGATAAATAGGTATGTCAGCCTGCTGATGTTACAACAGACGTCATGACGTTGGCCATGGCATTGGGACAATTTAAAGAAATTTAAATTGGTCATAGTCTGTCATCGTCCTTGTTAAGTAGAGATCAATGTGCTTGAGACATATGAGATCTGCATACCAGAATTTCAGACTTGTTTCATCATGCTTGATTGTTTGATCTCGAATTTTTGACGCGTGACTTTTGGTTTCCGTTTGAATGTTTAACATGTTCAAGTTGCTTGATTGATGTGATGATCATATGTTTTGCTTGCTTGTATCTTGTTAATGATTAATTATTGATGATTATCTTGCTGGACTTGGGATGTATGTGTGTGTGTGCTTCCGATTCCGTTTGTCGCATGATCGTTTAATTGCTTGAATTGATTTGAAGAGCATGTTGATCTTGTTAATTCTCGATGATGCATTCTTGTTGAACATTAGTGTTTGATTGTTGATGCATGTCCATCCTTGTATGATAATTGTTCATGATTGATGCTCGCTCATATTTGATTGCATTTAAACATGCTTGCTGCCCTGCCTTCTACAGCTGTCTTATTCTGAATTTACATGTTGTCTATGTTATTGCTTGCTTGTTGTCTTCCCTTTTACACCTACTTTTATGTTGAATTAGTAGCTGTTAAATGTTGTTGTGCTGCCTTGCTGGATTTTGTTGCTGTTTTGCGCAGGAAGCGCTGTTGTACCTGCTGTTTTTACCTTGTTTTCTTGATTTTTGCCTTGCCTTTGCATGCTCCCTTAGGATTCCTATTCTAATTTAATTTCCGATTAATTTTGGGATTAGGATAGACATTAGGAGTGCAATTCATGCATGATAACAAGTAGGCTAGTCCCTTTTAACCTTAACCTTAGGTTCATATTTTGCATGCTAACATTAGGATAGAATTTCTTTTTTGCATCCCGACCTTAAGACCACTTTGCATGACAACGTTAGGACCAAGTTTCCCGTAGACCTTTCGTGCATCTCTCTTCTCATCTCAAAAAAATGATAACACGCCTAATAAAGACGATGAACATTGTGAGCCACGAGCCTTAAGCACATGGGAAATGATGAGTGATGGATCTCCTCTCGCTTGTCTAGAGTGTTTATCGTACATCCCATCTGGAGGCGATATGTGACACATTCGTTCATATATCATAGTCTTTAGTACAACGTGAATCACAAAGCAAACTAATTCACTTCATTAAAACTCACAAACAAAATTCAAACCTTTTCATCCTTCAGGATTTGTGTTTCAAACTCATTTTCAGAAAGAGTACGTTACTTTTCCGTTCTATCGCAAACAGACATCGACTCTAACTGCTGGAATGGGAACTTAATGTTACTCATAAAAAAAACTTAACCAACATGTGGTTTCATAGTAACCCGAACTACGTTTACTCTGATTTTCCATACCAGACGAGGATACGTAGGCATAAGACGACGATGTCTTGGCGAGCAACCTTCCCCCATCACCCGTAGTTTTCTGAACTACGTTGACAGTGACTTTCCCATTGCACGAGGGAACACGTAGGCATAGGGCGGAGATGTCTTATCGAGTCTCTTTATTTTTTCTTTGTTCTTGTTTCTGTTTAGCAGTAGCTTATAGAAAACACACCATTTGATTAGACAACAAGCATGAATCCCGTTGAGTACAATGGACGTAAGGGGTGCTCATACCTTCCCCTTGCGTAACCGACTCCCGAATCCAAGGTTTGGTTGTGATGACGTTGTCTTCTCCTTTCTTTTAGGTTTTCTTCGATCGTTTCCTTTCCCTCTCTTTGAGATAAATAATGTTCGGTGGTGACTCTTCTGTTTTTCCACCGGGTGTTTTTCACAGTTGCAACAGAAGGGAGTAAAGTTCTAAGTGAAGTTAGCATATGGCCTCCGGGAAGGTTTTATTGTCGACCTTTCCATCGATCCATGCTTGTAGTCTTCTTTCCTGGGCCCAAATACTTCATGCCTAGATTGTGTCTTTTCTTTAGCATCCCAAGATATTTTCTCCATACTGCTTTCTCCCCCTTGATATAACATTCTTCTTTGTTCATGACTTCCTTCATGCTAGTGGTAGGCTTATGCGTCAATGATTCGTTGAAATGGTCGGCCTTTAGGCCGTTTCAGAAGGCTCCCACGAACATATCTTGATTTGGATGGGAGACCTTTATAGTGTCTTCATTGAATCGTACCATATATTCTCGGAGGGACTCGGTGGGACTCTGGCGGACGTTGAACAAGTTGGTGGTAGTCACCTTGTTATGTGTGTTGGCGGAGAAATGTTGCATCATCTTCCTGGTCAGATATTGACAACTAGTAATTGATAATCTAGGAAAAATCATATACCAAAGCAATGTCACATCCTTGAACGTTCCCGCCATAAGCTTTCATTTCAAGGAGTCGGCAGCCATGACTATTGCGATCTGATTGTTAATTGATATTATGTGCTCCTGAGGATCACTTTTGCCATCAAACCACGACAAAGGTGGTGGTTTGAAGTTTTCTAAGACTTGATTGTCCCAAATTATTTCTCAAAGATGTTGAGGATCAAGAAACTCCTCCTCCTCATCTTCTTTAGTGTTTTGTGACTGTTGTAATGTGTGGACACTTTCCTACATAGATTCGTTCTACTGGCGCAGATTCTCCACAATTGTAAGGAGTTGAGTCATGTCTCTGGGGTGTGAGGTTCATGCATGCTAGGATATGATCTAGAAATCTAGTTGCTATGGTGAAATGTATTATTTTGTGAGGCCTGGAAAAGTTTTATCGTGGGCGCTAAATGTTCTTGATAAACACTATTTGGTTAATCTCTCTGAGGCGAGTCAGGTGAGATCACAATCATCCTGTCTATAGGGGTAGTGGTTGTTTGTCTTTCTTCCTCGTTGGGAAGCCCCTTTTATATTTGTCATGCCATCAAGGACCATTTAAAGGAATGTTCCTTCAGATTCTGTGTTTAAGTGATTTTTAATAACGTCTACCGTCCTCTCTAACTCTCATGTAACGTCTCAACTATAATTTTTTATGTAACTCCCATGCAATCATGGAGTTATCTTGTAACACTTTCAAGAGATTGGATCCGGCCTGTTCATGTCGTCTACCAACGTTTTTACGAGACCGGGACCAGAACCGACTTATTCATGTCATATAACAATACTCCCCTTGACCAGGATCCAATTTACTCATGTTTATGCAGCTCGGCATGTTTGTTTCCTGCTACTCAATTTCAACAACTCTGTCTTAAGAATTCCGAAATGTACAAACATAATTCTCAAATTCCTTAGGAAGAGTATTGCTATTGAAAGTTTGAATTTAATCCAATTTCCTAAGTTACGATAGGTATCCAATATTCCTTGTGATATTACCCATCCAACAATTATTCTAGTTTTAACTGCAATAGTCTAGGTCAATGGTCAATCATTTCTTAATATCAATTTAACTATTCATCAGTAAACAAAAGAGATTAATACAAGAAATAAATGAATAATTTCTAGATCAATAGTTATATAAATGTAGTACAAATATCATTTGTAGCAAAACCTCTTTGTGGTGGAAGGACATTTGCGCGTTGGACAGTTCGGAGGAAGACGAACACAATATTTGGTTTTCTATGTCTTATCATTGCAAGATCAGGATGCAGTAGCTTCTGTTCTACCTGATGCCGCAGCTGTAAAGTTCAGCAGTTTGAGGGATGCGTTGCAGACCGTGTGTCCAGTGCTTGAAGTCGAGGATAGTTTCGTTTGGTGGCGTATTGGCAAACGTTTTTCTGTCAACCATGGTTACAGTTGGCTGAATTTTCCGTCCAATGCAGACGGTAATGTGGACGAGAAGCAGAATCGGGCATTGCGTATCTTTTGAAAATCCAAAATGCCAAATCTTAAAGAATTAATCACTGTTCAAAATGTTATATATAAAAGATGAAAAAAGTGTTAATAAGAATATTTATCTACACTGTTTTGGCCTGAAATTTTCAGAATCCAAAAGTTTCAACATCAGTTTCTCAAGAATCTTTGATCTTAAACTAGGTTTAACAACATCCGGATTTCCATAAACATCACAAGGATTTCTTCCCTTGAGAGAATCGCCGACACACCAACCACCACGAGGAAAGTAACCATCCGATCTTCCTAACAGTTCTTTGTCGATTTTATCAAGAACCGGGTCGTCCTTGTCGAACCTCCGAGCAAAAGGCGCGCCGCTATTTGCCATGTCTTTGAAATGCTCAAGTTTCAGAGACAAAGGATGTTGTTTTGGCGGGTTGTCCCATCTTAAGTAACGCAAATCGTGGTTTACTGTTGTGTTTTGATAATCCTTGTGATTGCAAATGACGGTGTGGAAGTAGCCTTCGTTCGACGAGAGGAAGTTCGTGTAGTACATTAAGAGAGTGCGAGGAAGGTTGTCCCAACCCCATACGCAGAACTCGAGAAACGGTTTTGTAAGGACAACCCATTCAGAACCTGAAAACCGAAAACCAAAAACCAAAAATGCTGTTAGCTAAAATAAGTTTGGAGTGTACATACATACATGCTTGGTTCAATTCAGTTTCCTTCGTGAACCGAACTACGAACAATCCTACTCGATAAGTTCAATACCTGTGAATAACTTAAACGAAGATGGGAGAGATCTTTTCTCTTTAGCATAGTAAACACTAGACACTCTTGAATGATATAAGCCGGGATCGACAATGATAGGCCTGGCTCGTTGAAACCTGTTATTCAAAGTTACGATTAGAGTACACGAATCGTGATCATGTATAGAAGTTTAGTAACAAACTTAGACATGGATAAGTAAGATATATACTCACTCTTTCCAACCCATGTTACTTGTATGCTCAATGAAGTTCATGTCCCTAGGCATGAATGAAAATATATGCAAGAGATCTGAAACAACTAGCACATTGTTAGATTAATGACTTCAATTTTCTCATAATATTAGTTATGTTAGAACATCAACCAGTATGACTCAACAATTATATCTACGAGTCAATGTCGAGTCTTATCTATGTTAGTTCTTCATAGATCTTGACTCCTATAGAAAATATCCTAGACCAAGACCATAATTTAAAACCTTGATCTTGTTTAACCTACATTTGAGTCTAAATGATGACAATTAAACCCTAAAACGAAAACATAAACATAAACAGAAAAACACTAACCATCCTGTGAGAAGAGAGGGTAATCAGAGGCACTAAGATTAACAAACCAATCCCAATCATGAACCTTTTTAAGAAACAAAGCAACAGAATGAAGAGTAGAAGCAATCATAGAAGGACCCTTGTAAGTAACCAAATCACCTTTCCCAACAACCATAACATTCCCAAAAACACCAAAAATCCTCTCCGATTTCACATACTTAGCAACCTCAAGCCTCTCAGCGTCAGAAGCTTCTAGATCAAGGTGAACAAGGTAGTAGTTTCTTGGATGATACGTTGCTTGAAGAAGCCTCTTGACCTGTGAAACTTCCCCTTTTGTACCGGTTAGCAAGTATGCGAATTTGGGGAGGTTTGGAAGATTGAAATTGGTTGTGAAATTTGGATTTTCGGAAGAAGGAGATGAGGAAGAGGGTTTTGAGCGAGGGAGGAGGATGAGGAGGAGGAAGAGGAAGATTGTTAGGGTTGGGATTATGAGCCATTTATGAGGTAGATTATGGTGGTTGGTGTGGTGGTTGTGGTGGTTTTGGTGGTGGTGGGAACTGTGGTTTCGTTTCATTGGAGATTGTAATGTTTTTTGAGATTTGGTTTAGACATTAAAAAAAGGAAAAGAAAAAAAAACATAAGATGTTTTTGTTTGTGATATGATGTTTTTGTAAGTGTGAGTTACTGTCTTTTTTGAGGTTGTTGGAGAAGGAAACGGTAGCTTAGTTGATTTTGGGTTGTTTAACTGAAAAAAGACATTGATTATAGCATGTTAACTGACTACTACTAATGTGTTTGTGTTTCTTTTCATAAAGATGGAAAATGTGTTTGTGTCGTCTCTCATTTATCATCCTTGTCTCATTTTTTGTTTCTTTTCATCCTTTTTTTTTAGTGTTGGAGATATAAAATTAAATATAAGGAAGAAAATCTATAGAAAATTATAGATGATTTAACTTTAAGATTTGTTATAAATTATTTGAATATACTTTTTAGAGAATTGCGAAAAAAAAAAACATTTTACTTAATGTATATATTACAAAGTATTAGTTTAAATGGTTTGTTAGAGTTATTTAGATGTGGTTATGGTAGTTAGGGTTCGGTAGAATCCAACCAATTTCAACTAATTTTATATGTAATTTTTTTAATTTTTAAGATTTTAATTCATCAAAGTTATCTAATGATTCTAACATGATATTGATCGTCTTTTGATCCTTTCTTTTATATGTTAGTTTACTTAATTTTTCAACTTTCTTTATTCATGCATCTTGAAGGTCATTAATGATAGAAATTGATGAACCATTACCACTTTCTAAGAATCAAACCAGTTCACATGTTGTGGCTTCAGTTTTTCGAAGCTCTTCTATTTTTCCATCGTTTGCTCCCAAATATTTTATCAAGTTAGAAGATAACTGTGGAATAAGCAGGTGGAAGGTATGATACTCTCGCATAAGCTTCAAAGTTTATAGGGTTGGGGCTTAACTTTTAAAGCCCCAAAAAACTTAGCATCCTAAAATTTTAAAAAATAAAGGAAATGCTCATTGCACCCTTATATGTGCATCTTTGACCTTTGAAAATTTGAAATTGTCCTTCATGCGTCTGGAGATACATCTTCAAACACACCTAAATCACACTAAAATACGCTATTTTGAGATTCATCCCATTTTTATTAAAATATGGTTCGAAAATGCATCTTTATATACTGTTTGGGTGTATCCAGATATGAATCACTGAAATATCTTGTTAAGTCCTTTTACAGGTAATGGAAATGTGGTGATTGCAAGGAGGAAATTACTTCGGAGATACATCTCTAAAAATCCACTGAATGGTTTTAGAACAACATCATTGTCCCAACTTTATAATTTTTGGAGGTCAAGTTATATTAACGTAAAATCAAAGTGAAATTGTAGTAAAATCAAGTTTAATTAAAGGTAAACGAAAGTAAAAAAAATCATACATTAATACAAAAATGCAATACCATACATAATATTTTTTCGAAAATACAAAAAAAAATACATCCCAACATAAACTAATGGGTATGTCTAACTCTCTTCCTTCTCCTCCAGCGATTGTACTACACGACATTTCGTAACTCAGAAACCATGTTTTTCACAAGGGCCAATTAGAAATTGTCATCCTCAAACAGTCTTGCCTCTATGCTTTCTATACTCATCTCAACAACACGCCGACAAGACGTCATCACGCTCTTGGTGTGGTCATCACGAGCCTTAAGTACCTCTTGGTTAATTGGCCTATATGGTCTTCTAGGAGCGTTTGGTATCATGATATGGTGTGACATCCTATAAAACCTGGTCATGTATCTGTTAATATAAGTTCAATATACAGGAACTAGTACCTTGCAATACTCCTCTAGTATCACATGACTCTCGAAATCTTCAAGTATCACATTGATATCTCTGTGGCAGATAGTGGGAGGAGCACGATAATTTACAGATATTCAAACTGTTGCATAACTTGCTCAAGCAGATAAAAATCAAAGCAAAATTTATTTTCGTCAGTCTTTTTTTATATTTCCAAGATAAAATTTAACAGGATGTCTTTTCAAGAATTATATTTTCAATTCATTTACTCAAATATGTTGTACACATATCCTTTAATAATGATCAAATTCAATTTAACACAAAGTTCTAATACAAAGTATACATGTTACAATGAATGCACACATGTAATACCTTAAATGCTATTGTTTGAGATTTTTCAAAAGCTCTGATGGTGAATATGTTTTACTTACTATTTCATAGACCAGAAATACAATGAATTTGTTATTTTCTTTTCTTGAGGGAGAGTTTTCTCTTATAACCTCATAATTACATATGTGTATTTGAGAAAGATAAAAAAAAAAGGATGAAAATATCGCATTAGCTAAAATATCAATTTTTTGATAAAAATAAAATTGAATTGTTAAAGATGAGAATGATATGATAATATTTATTCAGCAATGATTCACTAAGTTTACCTCTTCTCTCTTTAGTTTATGCTTTTTATGCTTACCAAATCTTCCATTTAACCTTAGTAATTCTACCCACACATACCTCACCTGCAAGTCACACAACCACAAATAAACATATATAAAAACATTTCTAATAACACTAAGACTCAATTATGTCATGCTTTATTTGCAAGTCAAGAAATAAACATCCTCACAAACAAAAGTTAAGTAAATTATTTTATATAAAACTAGTATAAAATACTTAAGGCCTACACTTCTTAACTTCATCATGTATTTTTGTTTATAGATTATAAGTCTTAAAAGATTATAATACTAATTTTTCTTGTAACATTTTTTTTATCAATATACAAAATATAAAAACCTTATTATACTTTATATCCAATATTTAATAAAATAAAATTCTTCAAAAATCCATCACTACAATTAGCTTAATATTTTTCCCTGCCATCAATGAAAAGTAAAAATTAAAACACAAACAATAATATAAAATAAAAATAACATAATTCAATGTTACAAAACACCCACATTAACAAACTCGAAATTATTGAAAACTAAGATTTGAGATAAATTCTAATCTTGAAATCATAACAAGAAATAAAATACATACAACACTAAACAGTATCAACATCCCATAACAGTGTAGGTATGAACAAAACTCTTTGATTCCTTTGTCGCAAGCCGGTTCCACTGTGGCGTATTTTCGTTTGAGACTCAAGCATTAATTTCAAGCATGGTTCCACCTTGAAGACTATGACCTCCAAGAAATATTAGCTTATCTCCACATGCCCGAAAAGCTAGTCCCCAACCATTCGTTGAGTTTGCTTGCTGAGGAAATCCTCTAATGGTAACCCATAAGTTGTTTCCTTTCACATACTTCCTTACTTCCCGTTGTGAATAATCAGCAGCATACAATATATTTTTTACAAGAACAATCATAGAAGGTGACCCAGAAAAGTGTGGTGTCTCAAGCGCCTCATTTCGTATTAAGAACATGTTGGGTATTTGTAACCCGGTGAACTGACTTTAAACAATGTTGCGGATAGCAAGAGTCGCCACCGACTTTTATTTTATCCATAAGGAAAGGTTATAAAAGAACAGGAAAGACCTTAGAGAATATTTTGGGTCCGGGGGGTAGGTTATAAAAAGGGAAGGTATTAGCATCCTTTTCATCCATGGTTATCCATGGGCTCTTAGGTACTTAAGCTCACTTTTGAATTGTTTTGAAATTGTAGTGTGTGAATAGAAAATTTTCAGAATAGTTAATAAATAATCCATGTGAGGATGTGTTAAGAACTTGTTTGAAAACTTGTTGAAAATTTGTTTAAGTGCGAAACAGTTTTGAAGTGAGCAAGCACCTAGGAGTAACCTACCCTAATGTTTAAAGGTCTTTCTTATTCTTTATTCTTTCCTTTAGTAAGACTATCCCTACTATAATGGAGTAGGTAGTCCTTACTTTGGATGTTAAGGGACATGTGAGGGACAATTGGATTTTTGAAGGCCATGGTGGGATGTAATAAGCACATATAAGGGACCATCATCATTTTTCGAAAGGGACTCGATTCGTAAAGGCAACCATAAGGGACTTTGATGATTTTTCTATTTGAGGGACTTGCTTTATACACCCCACTTAACCATTATTCGTAGGCAACTTGAGGGATATCCTTAGGAAGTGAGACGGCGATTAAAATCGACTTACGTGTGTGACGGGTTTATTTTAATTATCTTTATTTAAAAGTGATCTAAATTTATTTTAATATTACATACATGTTGTTACACTCCTTAATTACTAACCATAATAATAATTAAATAATTAAACAACTTTACATCCAAGAAACAATTACAAAATAATAAGCAAAATAATTAAATAGCAAAGATAAATAAAATATAAATAAGCAATAATAAATAATAAAGGGGGTTAATTCTAAGTTTACTCGGCAAGACATCGCATCTTGTGCCTACGTATCCTTACGGGAGTGGAATCAGAGTAATCGTAGTTCCCCTCAAAAGGGAGGTTAGAAACTTCTTGACTGTGGTCAAGGTCTCAAGGGGAATAAACGCATCTTAAGGACACGCTTACGTGGAGTGTAGAAACTCCAAATCTCTACGTTGAAATGTTAAGTTGTAATTAGGGTTAAATTAGGGATTCCACGGCGGGAAACCCTAAAATTAGCACGGCGGCTCTTTGACCTAATGCTAAGGGTAAAATTGTAATTTTGCCTGCGGCGAGGCATTTGTGAAAATTAGGGTTTGTAGTTTGTAGTTTTGAGGATTTGTGTGAAATTTTACGGACTATTGGCGCGGCGGCCAAACAGTTAGACCTAACCTTCGGATGTGTGCAATGTGACAGAAATAATAGTAAGCGCGTGAGATAATTGAATCATGCAAACAGAGAGATAATGTCATAATTTAAACCATGCAAGCAGAAATTTAAAGGCAGAATTTAAAGAGCGATTGTTAAGTTCGCGAGGTTACATGAGAGGAGCAGATACAATATGATAATGAAATTTGAATTGAACAATAATAAAATAAAATAAATAACGGTTCTAGTTATTATTTTAAAAAAAGATTTTAGTTATTATTTTAAATTTATCTAAAAAAAAGTTTTT